ACTGAGCCGGTAGTGGCATTTAGGCTGGGTCGCAGAACTGGCAGCGACCCAGGCTGGCCACATCCCCGAAGCAGTTCCCTGGTTCCCTGGTTTAGTAGTGCGCACACGTGCACAGTTCACTGTAAATTGTTCTGCGCATGCATGAAGAACAATTTACATTGAAATGTACACACACACATGTAATGCACATGATGTGAACTGGTAGTAAAACCAGCAGCAACCCATCTCTGTCAAGGGTATATATTCCTCCTTAATGGTGATGGCAGTGTTGCCAGTGAAATTCCCTTATGATGTTTACTTGAGGAACTATCTTGTATGGAGGTCCTATAGTATATTTTTCTATGAAGAAGAGTATATCCTTCTAACTGGAATAGCCATCCTCATCCACTGACCTGCAACTTTAGGAAGGGACGCAGATAAACCAGTAAGAAGGGAAGAGCACACCCACCTTGCTAGCGGAATCAACAATCAACTCTAGCAATCAATGAAGTGACAGCTTGGGAATTTAATGAAACTATCAGGTTGTAAAAGACTGTGTAGTGAAAGACAGAATATTCAGATACATCTCTTGCCCATTTTGTATCTAAGTAAATTGTTTACAACATCCGCAATGATGCTTCATACTGATCTGATGTAACACTTCATTTAACAAAATAGTATTATTGTGGCATCATTCATGTTAAGTTTCCCATTTCTTGTCTTTGCAGGAGCCATTGACCAATGTTCCTACATCAAGTACCACTACTCCTCAGCAACCATTCCTAAGAATCTAACCTACAACATTACCAAGACCATCCGTCAAGATGAATGGCATGCTTTACGTAAGTTTCTCACCTCTGTTCTTCTCCTCCCAGTATGGAACGTTGATTTTAAATTGTGCAGATTGCAAAAATATGGGGAAAAAAACCCTACATTTTCTATTACTCTGAACAGCTCTGCTGATTTTGTGCCTGTGCTAGAAACATTGCAACCAAGTATAACGATATGTCCAGACTTGTGGAGTTACAAGTGTCATGACACGCCTACTTCTGGTTCTATAAAACCTTTAGCTTGTTCACTGTTTTTGTATTTGTGATGGTATGGTAAATTCTACAACCAAACTCCTCTCTTAGTGCATGAGAGGGAACCTTCAGAGTTAGCTACGCAACCTTCAGTTTGCTGAGGCAGCCATGGGCAAAAGCATTTTTACCATGGAGACATGATCTTCTAAATAGTCTGATCTGTACATAGAGCACATGTGACTGGCCCTTTGATGTCTTGTTGCACAGCAGAAATTATAGAGTTGTGTGGATTGAAGAAATCATTTAATCTTTCTTCCCCTTTTCTTTTTCTGAAACATACTGGAGAAAGTTTTCAGTCAGAATTTGTGTTTGGGTATGATTGCTCTTGTCTAGGCAGGTTTATAATTGACCTCAAGAGTCAGATCACCATCCTTGTTTCTCTAGCTTGCACTCATGAAGTTCTTTCTTCTTTCACCTGAAACCTTGCCCCACCCTCAAGCCAGCTTTTTCCTTCTTTTTTTGGGTTCCACCACAAAACCGCGTTCGACTAAAGGGCGCTCGACGAAAC